TCGCCTCCTCCCTGGGCTCCCACCAGCTATGATTTGTGATAATGTGCTGGTATGCAGGAGAGTCTAGATTCTGGAAAATACCCCCAAACGTTAATTTACACTCCGTGATATTTTCTTTTCTTTTGCTCAGGGTGGTTAATAAAACCTGTTATGACATGCTTAAAGTGCTTAAGAAGCTCTGGGAATAAATGAGAATTTTTCTATGCCTCCCTAAGGCATTTTCATTCCTATCAGTAGTTGTTCGTTCCATTTGAAGGATTGCCAGAGGAGAAAACGTTAAACGACTGTGCTGCTGCTATAGCTTCAAATGGGATTTATTTCCTTTGGATTGTGATTGGATTCTTGATTTGGCTGAACGGAGAAGGTGGGGGGTTGGGGGGTCCTTCTTTCCCGGAGGTGTTTTAATATACATCCGTCCTTTTTTTAATATGAAACTGAGAGCCTCTTAACTGCCATGCCAAGTGAAATGCAGCTTTCTAACCAAATGAGAGTTACTTGCTCAAGAAACAAGTGAGTTATAAGCTGTGACCGGTACCACGTGCAAGGGCCTTTACTGTGTACGGGACAGACACTGGGAAGAGGCTGTGCTGGTCTGGTGAGAGTAGACACAAATGGAAGAGGGATTCTTGTCCAGTCACTTCTGCCCTCAGCACTGGTGACTAGGTAAAAATCCCCCCTGAAAAGAATAGTCTTATACTCTGCAGTGCCAGCTTCACCTGAATTCAGCTTCTCTTCATGCAACTTATCCTGTTGCTGCAGGTGTAAAGTGCTCTGGGGAGGTGACAGAGGGCTGGACTGGCTCAAAGGTGTTTCTTACCTGCCCTGCATGTCTGCAGCGTGAAGCTGCAGGAGCAGGACAGCTTACCATGCGTTTCGTGCAGGTGCTTCCCTGCTATCTCCATGCCCTGCCTTGACAGATGGGGTTTCAGAGCTTTTTCTGGTTTGCTTGTACACGTGTCTCACTTAAAAAACCCATACTGGTTCCTATGATTTCATAGCAAACTTGGGGCTTTGATTCCTGTAATGCATAGACATACTGCTGAGAGTAGGCATACACAGTCTTCCGTACTCCTGCATTTTAATCAAACTCTTTATAGCTCGTGTTGTGTTTCACGGCTTCCTCATCTGATTCTTGCAACTTGGGCTTAATTGACTTTTGGAAGAGGTATGTGTAATCTGCTAATGACTGCGCTGTGTTTGTCAGGTGCTGCTTCTGAGGTCTTAGATCAATCAGTTTAAATCCTATTTGTGTCTGGTTTTCAAAGCGAAAGCCTGGGTGATCATCTCAGGAGCTATTAAGATAAACTCGTTACTTATCTCAGTGCTTTGATATCCTTCTAGAAGAAGTAGATCTAGGCGTGCTGAGGGTTGTTCTCTTAAGCTGCATCCTTAATTCCTAGATATGAAAACAGAGGACATGAGGATATAACGTAGCGCCCCTAATTTGCTGCTGTGGCCTCACAGGCCAAGTGATTCCACCTCTTTCCCCAGTTTCCCCTCAGAGCTAGTCAAACTGTATAATAAATGTTAATACCTTGTTTCCTTCTCAGACTAAGAACTTGGACTTCCGCCGAAAGTGGGACAAAGATGAATATGAGAAACTTGCAGAGAAGCGGCTCACGGAAGAGAGAGAAAAGAAAGATGGTGCGTAGTGTACTGACTCCAGGCAAGCTTTGCTCATTTGGCAGTGAGTCACCCAAACACTCTGGACTTGAGCGGGAGAGAGCAGCTAGAAGTGAAACCCCAAAGGGAAATAGCAGCTCAAGGCTGGCTTGCTCCGATCCTTTTTCCTGTGCTTGCTGTGGAATGTATTTTTTGACAAAAGTAGTTACTGAGAACCTTTCCCTCTGTCTGCCTGTTCTTTGGGGAGGGAGAGAAACAATCAGCCCCTGTAAACAAGGAGATCTCAGAGTATGACCCACATCAGAGCTCGAGATACCTCACAGATCTACCTGGTTTTAATAGGAACTAGGAAATAGTGAGGAGGAAATGATATTTTTTACTGATTTTTTTTTAAAAAAAAGTGCAATTTCTGCATGAATCAGGTAGTTCCCAGGTTCCTGGCAGGCCCTTCTTCGTCAAAGGGCAATGGGAAATCCCGCATGTCGAGCTTGACCCTTTCTGATAAACAGTTTGGTTTTTTGCATATGTTTTAGGCAAACCAGCTCAGCCCGTCAAAAGGGAACTTCTGCGGCACCGAGACTACAAAGTGGACCTGGAATCAAAGCTGGGGAAAACCATCGTCATCACCAAAACTACCCCTCAGTCAGAGATGGGAGGGTAAGTTGTGCTCTTCTTTTCATTGGGAGTCTCAGAGTTGTGCTGGTGAGACCGGAGGGGCTGTGATACAGCAGTGAGCCCTTATGGTGCACCAGGTGGGGATTTCCTCCTGCGTTTTGAGGCTGGTGTGACAGTGCTGCACTGTATTACACCGAAACTGGGTCTTCTGGGGTAAGGTATGGAAGTGACGCAGGAGGCTGAGCCCCTTCAGACATTATTACTTGACATCAGTGTTGCTCTGCTCTCCTGTAGAAAGAACTGAGGCAGATCTCTGCTGCTCGCTTGGGTTTTGTTTGTCAGGAGGCCTGCTTGCAGTGAGACCCTCTCTGCTATTGATCTGAGTTTCTGACTTGGATATCTGTGCACTGGGAATGGGAGAAAGATCGAGATACTGGTCCTTGGGAATGATATTTGGCCTCTCTTTGTGTGGATCATGTTTGGGCAAAGGCTGAAAGGATTCTTGACACATCCAAAGCCATTGAGAGGTTGAGAAGAATACATTGAGTTTGTACTGTTGTAAGAGTAAGCCTGTTAGTGTCTCAGTGGTGTAGCCTAATAGCCAGGAGTGCCAGGGAGACGTGCAGCCCAGAGCAGCATCCAGGGATGGAAGTGTGAGCCCTGGCTGGGTTTTTGCAATGGCTCTTAAGATGGACAGAATGCACTGCTATATGAAGCAGGGAGTTGTTGCTGTGAGGCAATGGAGGTGGGAGGACTTCCCTTGCAGCCAGGTGAGAGCCTTCATCAGGCTGCAGTCTGGAAACCTGCGCTGCCTGACCAGTCCTGCCTTGGAGGAGAGCATCCAAGCCCTGCAGTGTCACAGAGTCTGTCCCACCCTCTCGGTTGTGACTGGAAGGGGAAGGTGCTGTGGCTGACGTATTGCAGATCAGCTCATGTCTTGGTTTCTGTTGTCTGTCAGAGTGGCCTCAGCATAAGGGTTGGTATTTCCAGTGTTAACTGGGGCAGCTCTGTTGATCTGGGGTGTGCCCTGGCACATTTCTTTTCACTGGGGCTCTCTGTGATCGAAGTAGCTTCCCTCTGGCCTTGGAGAAAGGAGCTGTATCCCAAGTAACATGCAGATTTCACTTTTTAGATTATCTCAAATAGTTGTTCTGTGAGATAAGGTTTGTCTCATGCTTTGGCATTAATGTTTTCTCTCCTGCCAGGTATTACTGTAATGTATGCGACTGCGTGGTGAAAGACTCCATTAACTTCCTGGATCACATCAATGGCAAAAAACGTAAGGATATTTTTTTATTGGAGGGTTGGTTGAGTTGGAGGGCTGCTGCAGCGCTCTGGGCTGTTCCCTTCAGACATCACTAGTGCCTGAGTGCTGAACACTTATACACGGATCAAAGTGTGCTTTGGAGGTCAGGGTGGAGGCAGTGTCTGCTCATGAGAACTGTGGACATGCTGCCTTCATCTCCTGGCACTTCTCCATTTGTATGGAATAAGCCCAGAAGAAATAGTTATTGGTTTATTTTGGTTAGGGGCATGTATTTTGCCCACTTAGAGTGTCTGTGCTGCGAGAAACCTGGGGTCAGCAAATCCTGACATCTCTGAAAATCTGGAGATAGCCTTTTTTACAGCACCAAAACTTTAAAGAAATTCTTAGATAAGTAAAACGTACAGGACTAGCCCGTTTTGGGATCGGAAGCTTCTCTTTGTAGTTGAGTATGAAGCTCAAAAATAGCTGGTCCCTGAGCTATGAGTATGGATCGGAGTTTACAAGGATGGAGGTTGAGGATGAGTGTGGGCAGGAGTGGGGCAGTTCAATCATGGAGTTGCCATGTGGTGCTGCTCTTGTCCTGCCCAACTCTTCTGGCAGCCCGCTTATGCACCTCCTGGTGTGTAGTTCCAAGTGCTGCTGCATCCCTGGGAGAAACCTGTGTATGGCTGCGGGAATCAACAGGCTGCTTGGATCCACCAGACAGTGTGGGCTGGAGACATCACCAGGGATGGCCTGGGCTTACTCATGAGCTGAAACCTGGGAATCAGGTCTATGAGGACAGGCTGAGAGAATTGGCGTTGTTCAGCCTGGAGAAGAGAAGGCTCCAGGGAGACCTTAGAGCCCCTTCCAGTCCCTAAAGGGGCTACAGAAAAGCTGGGGAGGGACTCTTGATTAGGGAGTGGAGCAATAGGATGAGACGTAATGGTTTTAAACTGGAAGAGGGGAGATTTAGATGAGATATCAGGAAGAAATGTTTTACTGTGAGGGTGGTGAGGCACTGGCCCAGGTTGCCCAGAGAAGCTGTGGCTGCCCCATCCCTGGAGGTGTTCAAGGCCAGGTTGGATGGGGCTCTGAACAACCTGGTCTGGTGGGAGGTGTCCCTGCCCGGGGCAGGGGGATGGAACTAGATGATCTTCAAGGTCCCTTCCAACTCTAACCATTCTATGGTTCTACGAATCTGCTCTAAACAGCCATTGAATCAGAGGTCTGGCTTAATATGCCATGCCTCTGCTTTAGCTAGAAAAGTCCTGTGTAATCAGGATCTCTTACTGAGAGCCACTGATGTCTTGTGTACCCTCTCCCACAGCTGAGAGGTGCCAGCTTGCCAGTTTTATTCTAACCCCTTTTTCAACACTCCAACCGTTTTTTTTTCCACTGGTCCAAGATTAAATTTGCTGAAGCATCAGAACACAGACGTGATAGGGAGCATCCTAATAGGGAACCTTAAAAGAATAGGTTGCGTCCTCCTTCTTGGTACCAGTAATGTACAGATCCTTGTAGTCACTGCCTGGTTTAGGTTATGGTGTCCCCCTAAAGCCCATCCCCTTTGACATAAGAAGTCCCAGTCTGTGTAGGAATATGGAACCAGATGAGGTCAGAAAGTGTGTGCCTCTCTGGAGGAAGAGAACATGTTGAACATGGATTCCGCTCCTGTTTTCTAGACCAGAGAAATCTGGGCATGTCCATGCGGGTGGAGCGCTCCACGCTGGACCAGGTGAAGAAACGCTTTGAGGTGAACAAAAAGAAAATGGAGGAGAAGCAGAAGGACTATGACTTTGAGGAGAGGATGAAGGAACTCCGCGAGGAGGTGAGTCTGGGCAATGGCTGACGAAGCAAAGCCCCTCAGAAACACGTTTCCTGAGGAAATCAATGCTGGTTCCCAGTCTTGTTCCACAAAAGCCTTGTTCTTGGTAGCATGGGCTGCCTGTCTGCTGCTATGAGTGGGTTTTGTTTCTTTGTCGTTTGTTTTTTAAAAAGTTTTCTGCTGCTGTCCCTGGAAACCCCTTTCCCCTCTTTCTTTGTGAGGATGACTTTTGATGCTTCAGGTTTCCACTTAGAGTGGCACAGCCCTGACAATGCACCCGTTTGTCATCTCCCATTAGTTGTGTTTGAACTTGTGTGCTCTGATAAGCAGATCTGTGTCTTTGTCCCTTATCAACCATTGGAATAATCTCCCCAGGGAAGTGGTGGATCCCCAACATTGGACACTTCTAAGATTCAGTTGGACAGGGTGCTGGGCCATCTTGTCTCGGCTTTTGCTGAGAAAGGTTGGACCAGATGATCCTTGAGGTCCCTTCCAATTCTGTGATTCTGTGATTCTTATCTTCCACGATTCTTAGGATTGCTGGAGTTCCTTCTCCATGTGGCACGCCTGTGTGGCCTCCCTGAGTGCGGAAAGGTTTTGTGAGCGGTGTACTGTGGTGTGAGATGTGCGTGGAGGCAGTGAAAGATAGGAGATTCTCAAACCTGGGCTTGGGTGTCAGCTCCCTGACATGAACATCAAATTTATTTGAAAACCTGACAAAGTTCTGACAGTTGAGGAGCTTCTATGGATGCTTCTCTTCCATCAGCAGTCACATAACAACCAAATGTTAAAATTCCTTGCCCGTTTGAGTCTGCCTGCCCAAGCCCTGAGCTTTGCTTCACTGCAGGAGTGCTCTGTTGGGGTGCGCAGCTCTCGAGCAGGCTTTGCTGCCGCTGAACCTGATCTGTTTTGGGGAGGTGGGAGACAGGTGCCCCAGCGGTGCAGGGAGTGCTGTGGGTTGAAAAGCTACTGCCAGTCAATGGATGGCAACAAAGAAATCAGCGGCAACTTTTGGTGTAGCTTCCTCCAGGGCACAGCTGTCTTCAGTAGCTGCGGCACAGCGGATGGTGATGGGAATGGCAGGAGCAGTTGCTAAGTCGGGAGCTGAAGCCATGCTTCTGCGTCGCCCGGTACAAGCCTGGCGCTGTTCCAGGGTTTGTGATCCTTGCAGAGCAAAATACTTTGATTAGAGCAGCGCAAACTCTTTGATGCCAAACCCCCCCCAAAGCAGCTCAGAGCTTCAGCTTCTGTTCCAGCGAGCAGCTGTCGCTCTGCCAGGCTGAAAGCCAACAGGCAGCGACATTCGGCGTCGCAGTCACTGGAATGGGGCATCCATCGTACGAGGGAAAGGCCTCCTGCTTTAGAAACAGCTCCTTCTTGCCTCAGTGTTGCTTCCAGATGAAACTTCTGACGTTTGTTCGGAAGAGAGTTTCATAATGCTTCTTTTTGGCTACATCCTCTGTGTGACTCAGCTCTTGGGGTGGTGGGTGAGGGTAGTCTGGAGACAGTGGGAAACCTCCTCCTGGGAGACTGCGGTCCGGGATTTCTGCTGGCTGCTTTATTTCCTCAGGCACAACTTGGGTGCTGTTGGTAGGACTTGGGTTAACTGTGCAGTGCCCGCTATCTCAAAAGCTTACTCAGCTCAGGAAGTTCAAATTATTTTGCTGTTCTCTTCCTTGCTGCAGGAGGAGAAGGCCAAAGCCTACAAGAAGGAAAAGCAGAGAGAGAAGAAAAGGCGGGCGGAGGAAGATTTGACATTTGAAGAGGATGATGAAATGGCAGCTGTGATGGGTTTCTCTGGTTTTGGCTCAACCAAAAAGAATCACTGAGCAGCTCTGGACTCTCCTCTTTCTCGAAACAGATTGTTTTTACCCAGGGGACTCTGGATAACTCTTAAAAGACTTGATTGAGGACTTGTATGTAAATCTCCCAGTAGAAGTTGGTTGGAGGAGTCGAAAAGCGATTCCGTGCTCTACCCGTGCTGCAGAACAAGCTCCGCCTGTCATTAGCTTCCCGTCTCCTTCTGTGTCCTAGATCCGGCTGCTCATCACTGCTCGATGGCCTCGTGTGCGCAGGGAAGTGTTCTGCTGGGTATGCTTTTGTGTCAATAAAATGCAACAGTTCTGTACAGGTGGCCTGGTTCAGAATTAATCCAGTTGTCAACCAGGCATCATCGTTCCGGGCCCTAGTTGTTGTAATTGCCAACAAGGCTGTGTGTGTGAGACGTGGGGAGTGATTCGGTTTCTTTTTGGATCACGTAACTGAAGGGAAATGTGCCACGGCGAGCGGTGCTGAGCGGTACAACCTGCAGCTTTATGGCTTGTGCTAAGCAGCGCCGGTGGCTGCGTGGAGTCTGGGTTGCCGAAACTTTTCCTGTGTATTTTATCTGCAAGGGGTACTTCCCGGCTTTTCTTTGTGTTTCGTCCCATGATTTTGATATCTTTAAGGCAGGGGAAGAAATTCCTCCCCACGACTAATCTAGGATAGAGCGAATGAAAGAAAAGTGTGTGCAATTTGCCAGAAATAAATGGATCGTTTTAATGGGTCCTTTGGTGGGAGTTTGATTCCTTCTTTGTTTTGAGAGCTGCTGCCTCTCACGGAGAAGAGCTGCTGCTGTCTCCTGAGCTGCACAGAGCTGGTGGCGGCCTTCTGGGGACTTCGATGGAGGCAAAGGCAGGGCTTGTCACCCCCTTTCTCTCGGCTCAGCTGCCAGCTCCCCCTATGCAGGCAGTTGCCGTCATTCTTGGACATTACTTTTTAAAGTAATTGTGGAGATGGGTGTAAGAATATGGGAAGGGGAGGGAAGAGAGGGGAAGAGGGAAAGGAAAAGGAGGGAGGGGAAGGGAAAGGGGGAGGGGAAAGGAGGGCAGGACTGGCGACCTGCGTTTCCATTAGGCAATCCAAGAGCAGGCTGGGCTGCGTTCCAGAATTAACCAACCTTGGTATATTAAGGGCCATTTTTTTCCTGTCTAGTGGCTGTCGGTATCTTTTCACCTCTGCCCTCTCCTAAATCCACTTCATTTCTGCTTTTATTTACCTCAGTCAAACCTTGTGTGACTCATTTCTGCCCACAGTTAGGATTTGTATTTTGCGGGCTGGGGTTTCGTAGCTCTGTCTCGCTCTCCTCTCTCTTTTTATGTATATTGATGAGATCCTTGCTCTTGCCCTTCTCTGTACTTGTATGAAATTCCCGACCCACAGAAGGCTGCAGTGTGTTTAGCCTGCTCTTTCTAATACATCTAGAACAAATCCTGTAATGCTTTGCTGCTGTTTTAATTCCTTAATCTTAGACTGCTGACAGCTTCATTGCCTCGGGTCTTTCCGCTTCAATTCAGATTATAATCCCCGTTGAAGATGCTATTGAAATGATATATAGCCAGTCAGATACAACTGTCCTTGGAGGTTTGACCCTTTTAACTTGGCAATCCTTTGACTTCGGCAAACGCTCTCTGAGCACACAAGCTGGAGAGGCGACTTTCATTCCAGCCACGTACCTAGCGATGTTCAGACTGCGGCACGTGGCTCCGGCTGAATGGGAGAGAGGAGACGCTTGTGCCTCTGTGCCCTCCGGGGTGCGAAAGGGATGTTGCCGTGGTTTCATACACATTAAAAGTTCAGAATGTTTCAGAGAAGATTTGACAGCAGCCATTTTATCCCAGCCACCAGCTCTGCAGCCAACCAGACCCTGGCTGCAGCCTGAATTCGGTTTGGGCTTCTGGGGAAGGGGATGGGGCTGCCTTGCGCCCTTCCTCTTTCCCGGGCTGGGACCTCAGAGCCAGTGGCTTCTGTCTTAGTTTCCCCACGGAGCATCTCACCCTTCTTGTCCATCCCAGTGCACTCAAAGGGCAAGGTGTGAAATGGACGGCACCCAAAAAACCTCCCCGAGGAGATGGCTGGGGTTGTGCAGCCTCCTGCCACAGGGCTGGAGCCCGACCCAGCCTGCTGTGCCTCTGCCTGCTGTTCTCCGTCCTGGGAGATCCTGAGAATGCCTCTGCGGTACAGCGGGGCCGGGAGAGGGCTTTCATGAATGAGATATCACAGGTCAAAAGCCTGTGATACCCAAACTCCATCCTGAAGGCCATCTGCATCCTCTGGGCCGAAGCCCCGGCATCTCTGTGCTGCTGCTGCCGCCCCGGTCCCAGCGCTGGGGCTGTTCTCGCCGGGGGGAGCGCGGCTCTTTGTCTTGGCGGCTTGCTGGGAGCAGTGGTGTGTGCGGCAGCAGATACAAGCTCCTGCTGGATTCCCAGCAGCGGGAGCTGCCTCTAGCCAAGGATGAAAAGCTGGTTTCATGGGAGGAAATAATATTTAGAGAAGAGACAGATAACATTCCCTGCATCCACCACGTTAACCCTTTGCTCCCACCGCTGCTTAGTGCTGCTGTGGGGTGTTAACCCTTTGCTCACTGCCCCCAGCGCTGCGGTTCTCCGTGGCTCTTCATTAGCGCTGTCCATTTCCATGCTGAATTGTAAAGGCTGCGGGTGCTGGATGTGCCCACGTGGGTCAGGGCTTGGGGTTTTAATTGGACTCTTTTAATTGGAGCTCTGCAGCTCTCTTTCCTGATTCCCCCAGCCACCACCACCAGCAAACAGGTCCGGGGTGCGCTGTGCCTGCTGATCCCCTCTCGGCTCTTGCCAAAAGGGGACGCAGCTCTTCCACAGGTTAAAACTGGGATCTGGTGGAGGAAGGACGGGCGTTTCTCATGGTTCCCGCATCCAGGCTGGGATATCCTGCCTGGTCTCACCCTGAAGGCATTTTGAGGTGCATGGACCCAGCTTGGTGCGTGTTCTCAGTGCCCGGGCAGAGGGTGCAAGGCTCTGCCCTGGCCACAGAGCAGTTCCTCGCAGCGCATGGCTCAGAGTACCTGGGAGAGGATCTCCAGCTTCAGCAGACCTACCTCTGTCCCAGCCAGGCTGGGAACCAGCCTAAGCCGGACTCGTGCGGCTCCATCCCATTAAATATTGATGGCAGTGTTTGGAGAAACACCAGGGTGTCACAGCAGACCCTAGAGAAGATAATGAACCTATCTTGCCTCCCCGCCACCTTCTCTCCCAGCCGTCATCTTCCCTGGCCTCATACTGGGAGGGAGGGCTGAAGCCTTGTGGAGGGGCCGAGCAGCAGAACCCACAGCTGCTTTTCCCCTCTTCCTTCCTTCTGAGGGACCTGGGAGGTTGCTGTGCACCCCCTCAACCCTACCCTCTCCTGCTGTCCCACCTTCCTGTCACTCTCTTCAGGTCCTGCTCAGGACTGGAGCAGCAGCCAAACCCAGCCCAGCATTCCCACCATCCCGGTAGAATGACTGGGATCAGGGACCTAGAGTGATGCTGGAGAAGGCATCCCAGCCTGGCCCCATGCATTACTCCGCCTTGGCCAGCTGAATCATGACTTGCTTCAGTGACTTTAGCAGCAACATTGCCTCGAAAAGACAGAGCATTTTAGTGATTTATGCCAGTTTTACATCCCACCCTCCCAAAACAGAGTTTTAAGAGCTTGGCTGGAGCTCCAGTCCTCCCACTGCTCAGGCCATAAGCTACTGCTGCCCCAGTTAGGCAGCCATTCTCGCCGTTTGCCATCATTAAACTAAACAGGTTCCATGGGCGATATCCCCAGAACCGCCCCTGCTCCTGCTTTGCTCTGACCCGGTACCATGGTGCCAGAAGGATGGACCACCAAAGCCCTGCTCTCCTGGGGACAGGCTGTGAGGCTTCTTGGTCTCCCACATCCCATCAGCCAACTTTCTGCAGCAGCACCATCCCATGCAAACCTGGAGCCACTACTTCTGCCCCCACCAGCTCTATGGACACCCCGGTTTCCTAAGTGCCACCTCAACCAGTCAACCCTTGGCCCAATCTGTAAGCTGTCCTGCTTTCCTCACCCGGGGGAACAAGATGTCCCCAGGGGGGGAGTCTGATCTGTGCAGGGGCAAAAAGGTCCAACCTCAGCAAGTTGGGCCACTCCACATGCTCAATACTCAGGGCTGAGCCAGGTCAGGCCACGGATGGGTCCAAGAGAGAGCAAGCAATGCTCTTGAGTGCTCCAAACTGGGAGAAAGGAGAGGGCTCCAGTGGCTCCCCCATCCCAGTTGGTTCTGTTGCCGTGGCCGGGTTGGGTTGGAGGGCTGCTGGAAGGATGGCTGGTTTCTGCTGGGCTCGGTGGTGGGGCTCCTGAGCAAAGGAGAGGTATTTCTTTGTCACAAGCGAAGTAAAAAACCATCATCAGGCAGAGAACAAACAGCTCTGGGCTGGAGAAGGACCAGGGAGATGGGGAGGAGAGGGGGAGCGTGGGGACAGGCCATCCGCAGGAGGTTTTTCGGGGACTTGTGTTCTCCGAGCAAATTTCTGCTGTTGGCTGCGCACCAGTGGCACCATTTCCCCAACTCACGCGTGCCCCCCCTCCATCACCGCACGCTCAGCGCCAAGGGGGGGGTTGGTCAGGGCCACTCTGCGGAGGGCTGTGGGAATACGGTCCCTGCCCAGAGGAGCCTGTGATCTGCCAGGCAGCCCCGGGGACACTGCCATGCCTTTGTTCCTCCTTCTCTTTCTTTTCCACCTTCAGATTTACTTTTTTTTTCTTCCCTCTGCTTCCAGCCTGCTGCGTATGCAGCACTCCCCCCCCTCTCCTTTCCACCCACAGTTCCTGTCTTGATTTTCCTTCCCCTCTACAAATATGTGTTCCTTAGGCTCCTTCTCCTCCCTGCCCAGCTTCTCCCATCAGCATTGCCTCCCCAAACTTGTTCTTTTTTCCCTCCCTTTGCCCCCTCTCCCTGCCTTCCCACAGGCCCTTCCCCTTCCCGCTCCTCTCCCCTTCCCTCCAGCTGCTCAGGCCCCCGTTCGCTCACTCTCCGTCTCCCCTTCTCTGACAGTTTGGGGGAAATCTGTCTGTGTCAACGTGCAAATTCCATTATTTATTGGCTGAGCGGAGCGAGGTCCTACACTCGTCTGTAATTGTCTGTAGATCAAAGCGCCTGCTGATGGCAGCTTTGCCTTCCCGCAGCAGAACGCCACCCCCAGCTTCAACGCTCCCCATCCTCCCAGGGGAGTCGGGTGTGTGCTTGTCGACACCCTCGATGACTGATCTCCCAGACGGAGAGGAAAGAAATAGGGCTGGTGGGGGAGAAAAGGGAGACCTGGAGGATCTGCAAAAGCTCCCAGGAGCAGATGGGGATGTTGGGGGTGTGGGGGTGTGGGGATGTGTCTCAGGGGGGCACGAAGCTCCCAGCAGAGGCTGGAGAGGGTGGGATGGTAGGGGTGGTCCTTCACCTGGGAATGGGGACAGAGACATGAAGCGAAGGGGGGACAGGGAAGCAGGGAACATCCCCA